CAAGCGAGATACCAAACCCAGGCCCTTCAAGCCGTGACCAAACATCAGGCCTTTAGCCCTTTAAACCCCTGAGCCCAACCCTTCCATAGCCCAAACCAAAACCCTTGTCACATATGCCTTTGGGCTGTTTAAGACCCGAGCTGTAGGCCCGTTAACCCCAAACCCAAATCCATTTAATTTAATTTAATTTCTTTTTAAAACCCAATCAAGCCTTTGGGCCAAGTTAGCACGGGCCCTTGGCCCAAATCCTTGCCCCGGGCCTTAAGCCCAAAACCTTAAACCTAGTTAACCCCAAGGCCCAAACCCTTTAGGCCCATCCCGGTTGACCCGACCCGGACCGTTGACTTTGACCCAACCTGATTTGACTGTTAACCCAGTCAACGATCATCGTTGACTTCGACTTTGATCGGTCAACGTTGACTTTTGTTGATTTTTTTTTGGGTTTTAGTTTAGGACCCTTCCTAGGGTAATTTCGACGTTTTGACCCTTTTTTGACGTCCGTTTTCCCAAATTCAATCGTTTGATTAGAGTTTTATTAATTGGATACTTTATGTGCTTAAGTGTGAATATTAGCGGTGATTTCATCATTCCTATTTCGTACGGCTCTTTGACGACAGAGTATCTATGAGTGGACCTTTTCTAAAATGCATGTTTTAATAGTAGAAATGCATACATGAAAAACATGATTTAATGATTACGTTTTATGAGATATTATGCTTACTTAGAATATTTTGAATTACCATATTTTCTATCAAACCAATATTCTTTCTAGTATATTTGATGGATGACGATATACTGTTTATGAACATGCTTTTACACACTTTTTTATAGTATAGATGATGGATGACTTTATACTATGAAGATGATTTTGAGATACACACACACACACACACACACACCCACCTATGTTTGGAAAATCTATGTTCAATGGTTTTGTGCGTATCTAGTAGTCATATATTGACCTTCGGGTTGGGTGCTGTTGGAGTCTTTGGGCGATTGATACTTATATTGACCTTCGAGGTTGGGTGTTGTAGGAGCCTTCGGGTGATGATTCTTATATTGACCTTTGGGTTGGGTGCTGTAGGAGTCTACGGGCGATGATACTTATATTGATCTTCGGGTTAGGTGTTGTAGAAGTTTACGGGCGATTGATACTTGTGAAGGAAGTTTCTGAAGGAAGACTTCTATATGCCTTCGGGTGATACTGATACCACTAGTTAGCATACCATATACGAGATATGTTTTGTGAAAGGTTTTATGGCATGCTAGGGTTTTCGGAAAACCTACTACATATTATGCTATTGAGTTTTCATAAAACTTTGGGGGTTAGTATGTTGATAACTGTTTAGTATTATATATATATATATATATATATATATATATATATATATATATATATCAACTTGGTCCACTCATGTTTGTTTTGCGCCCTCTCAGGACATAGGAACGAGGATTACGACTCGCACTACGAGGCTTGCCCCTACCAGTGACATTGTGCTATTCTCTTTGCTTGACATCTATTGTAATAGCACTTTTCTATCTTAACTTCCACTTGTACTCTGTATTAGATGTATGGTTTGAACATGTCATGCATTATTATTATATTCATTGTTAGCAGTTGAACATTATTATTGTGATAGTACTCTCATACTCCATGAATAGTCACATCCTATTATCTTGATATAATTCATAAGTGAAATTTATATGCATGTTCTCAGCATTTGCATTAATTAAATGGTTTTCGTCACCCTCGGGTCTCGGCTAACACGTGACCATCTAGATGTCACCGAGGACATCGGGATAGGGGCATGTCATGTCAGAAATCCTTGTTTTCGGTAGACCCTCAAAGCATGCTATAAATGAGACTGGGGCAAGAATGGTCTTGATGACACTAGACGGCTCCATACTCGAACATGACTTCAAGCTTGGATTCAAGGCGAGTAATAATGAAGCAGAATACGAAGCACTCTTAGCGAGACTCTAGGGGCGGAAAAGCTCTAGGTGAAAGAGTTGTGAATCCACTATGACTCGATGATCATAGTTAACCAAGTCATGGGGACTTCGCTGCTCATCATCCTAGACAGGACTCTACCTAAACAAAGTCAAAGCGCCACTTGAGAAATTCGAGAAGTACGAAATCACCTATGTTCGAAGACGAGAAAATAGCCATGCTGATGCACTAGCAAGCATAGCGTCAGCTGTCGACTATTATCTTTGATAAACAATCCATTTTGAGTACCTTACTGTTCCAAGCATCCACGAGCCGAAACCAGAGGTAGTTGTTGTTATTGATGCTAGAGAAAATTCGATGGACGAAATCATTTACTACATACAAAAAGGAAAACGACCAGAGGATCGCCACTTGGCTAGAAAATTGGTCCAAAAGGCTTCAAGATACACAGTCATCAGTGGGAAGCTTTATCGACACTCTTATTTTGGGCCCAATACATTGTGTATCGCTCCAATAGTAGGCTTAAAGATCTTGAGCAATATCCATACCAGAGTATGTGGCAACCACACAAGAGGAAGATCATTGGCCTAGAAGGCACTAATTGCAGGATTTTACTAGCCCACCATGCGACATGATGCTACTTGCTACGCCTAAAGTTGCAATAAATGTCAAAGGTACACCTTTATGAACCATCAACAAGTAGAGGAACTCAATATATGCCCATTTATGCAATGGGGTATTGACTTAGTTAGGGCCCTCAAGTAGGCTCAAGGAAACAATGAGTACCTGATAGTGGCTACATACTACTTCTCGAAATGAGTATCCGATAGTGACAACGAGCTGCAGTTCACTAGTTCTGAAGTCACATATTGGTACAAGGAATTGGGAATCTGTCACCTCATTTCCACTCTAAGATACCCATAAGGTAAAATGGACAGGTAGAAGTTTTGAACAAGACCATCCCAATGTTTGAAAAAAAGGCTTGAAAAAAAAAAGCAAGTCTAGTATATCTTTTCTTCATTTTTATTTCTTTTATACTTATTTTTTTAATTATTAGAGATAAATTAAAAATTTATGATTTCATGCATCTGAGAAATTCGAATAAATCTACTTAATATCTTCTAACCAAAAACTAAGATACTTACATAAATTATCTGCAGAACATATGAATCTAACTCGAATAACAAATATATGAATGTATATTATACCTATAAGGCAGAAATGAAATTAACCAAAAGGTACAAAAGCATAATATACTTACTAGCAATACACATTAATCTGTAATACATGTTGATAATGAAAAAGAATATGCCATTAGGTAGATAAATACAATTAACCTGTGATATAGGTTTATTATAAAAAAAATAAAATAAAATCTATAATAAGGTTTAGAGCACGAAGAAGAACAAGAAATAACAAAAAAAAAAAAAAAAGGAAAAAAAAAAGAAGAAATACTTAAAGAGATAATAGAGAAGAAATTTACTTTTTAGAGAAAATTTTACCATTAAAGAGATAATTATTGATAATAAATAATCCTAAACTTAAGAGATTAGACTTATTTTAATAAACTAGATTATTCATAATATTGACTTGAAATATTGTTGATTTAGCTGAGTTTTGACATAATCCTTGGAAAGAGAATCTAAAAACTAAATGGTTTCCCTTGTTGAATCATATCTTAATATTAGGATGTTTAAATTTTCTTTAGATAAGACATTCTTAGTGCAAAAACTAGGTATATTACATTGATCAAGCTATAAAATTACATTCTTTATAAAAAAACCACATTCATTAGTCTCATAAAATTATCAAAATAAAATATCCACCAAAAATAAATGTTTAGAAAACATATGATGGGGCTCAAGTGTGTTTGGAGAATTTCAATGTTAATTATTCTTCATCAATCATTGATGTTTTTTTACTTTATAGTAAAGTTTAGATACATTAGTAAATAGTTATGACATGAATAGTTACGTGACAGAATTGAATGTTTGCATTCATAAAGTACGAGGACATTGATAGTGAGACGCCAGATAAGATTCATCATATACTGTTGACAAAGACGCCATTCCCAAGATGTACATGAAGTTGCTAGGCAAAAAGCAAAGGATGACAAAAACGAAGAATTTTGTGAAGGGAATTTAGTCCTAAAATTTCAAAGGGATCTTTCTTAACGTCAAACTATTTGAAATATAATAGTTGACATATAAAAAGAAAACCCAATTGGCCAAAATTTTATTCCAAACCTTAATTAATATAAAACCCAACTTATTGTTGTTGGGGTAGGTGGGGTATAATAAGCAAAAAAAGGGGTCCACTTGGATATGATATTTATAATATTGATAACATAAAGAGTCCACGTACGTTGTTGGTTCATGCATGGCAAACTTTATTTTCTTCGAAGCAAAAGTATCCAGACGCACAAGTCTCTGCAAATCTAGACTTTACCCATACTCTTCCATCTACATTTTTTTGTTTGGAATCTCTCTTCCATTTACTTTCAAACCACAAAATATCAAATATTCTCTGCCATTTCGAATGAGGTAAAATAAACTCACTCAAAATATAAATATAAATAAAAAAAATAAATATTACCAAAATAAATCCACTTTCAGATCTCAGCCTGCTATTTGATAGAATATAATTATTTGTTGACTATATACTCTCAGCTGCCTGCGCTACACTGAATTTAACAAAACAAAAGCATCTTTTATTTTTCGTTTCTCGATTTTTCTTCTTTCTTTCTTTTTTTAATCTTCTTTGACCTGTGTTCCAAAAATAAAACATTAAAGTCTCCTTCCTCTTTTTACTGGGCTAGAAAAAAAAAAATCAACGAATATGTATGTGAAAAATAGTTACGAAATTGTTGTGAAAAATAATACAGCGTGTAAGCATAACAGCACTCTTTTGAGTTAATTAATGCGTTTTCACATTTGTTATGTAAAACGACAAGGTAATAGCATAAATTTTGGGCATCACATTTGACAATGCTATATCATGTAAGCTGCAAGTTTCGAGTGAAGGAAAACGCACACACTTCTGCCAATAATTGTATAATTTGACTGTGATGTCTTTTTCATAACTCAAAAACTATAAACCTCCTTCACCAGCTACATAACATACAAAGAATTAACTGCTGATTTTTTAACTCTACTCAATTTCTGCAGATATTTCTTATTTCTCTACAGTATCTGGTTTTCCAACAAACTTTTTCTTGCCAAATTTTTTCCATTCTTTTACAAGACAACTAAATATTACCTGTGATCACATCTGGAACTATCTATGCAATTATAACAATCTCAACCGTACACGAGATGAAGCAGGGCATCGCGTAACACCCAATGCCGGATTTTTGGTCGGAACTTGATATGCAACTTATGTCATCCCTTTGTTTGCCTGCAGCAAGACTCTTCGTAGCTCATTCGCTATCCCTTGCAGCAGAACTGGTTTTCGGATAACCCCATTGATTCCTGTTTGCATACATCTATCCCACACATCTTCGTCAGCACTAGCAGTTACGGCAATGATCAATGGCCAAGTAAGGCTTCGAAATTTTCTGATTCTCATTGCGACTTCAAAACCATCCAACTCAGGCATGTGAAGATCAAGTAAAACAACTTGAAATGAAGATCCAGCAGGACCAAAAGTACCAATAGTAGAAAGACATTCGAATCCAGATGAAACGGCAGTTACAATGCAACCAAGCTTCTCGAGCATTTTCCGCATCACAACCCTGTTCACGTCATCATCATCGGTTAATAAAACTTGCAAGCCTTTGAAAAGTGAATTGGAATGTGGGTGCTCAGATGATTCTCCAGGTTCAGAGATGGCTATTGCAATGGAGGGACGAAGTTGAAACCGAAGAACAAGTGCCATGCTTTGAGCAAATCCTTGAGGGTTAGGGACTGCCCATATATTTCCTTGCATCATCTGACAATTAAGAATTAATACTTCAGTTTAAAAAGAAAATTCCAACCAAGTAAAACTATATGAACAGTCAATGTAGAACTAGCAGATATATGTAAATTGTAAAGGTTTGCAAATCTGAACAAACTATATCTCCAAAAGATTTCCTCGTATTAATGCTAGTAAACTAGTAACGATTTGAGGGGAAATATCATGTTCGAAAATCTTAATGGCTAGGCCATGCTTTTAAACTAAGTTCGTCCTGTACAACCTTACCTATTAAAGGCTGAGTGAGGTTCCTGTACATTCTACTGTGATAAAAATAGGGTTAACATCTTTGGTTATCAAGAGCCTGTCCTAAAACTTGTAACTGGTCATTAGAAGGGCTATCTGAATATGATTAGCAACATAGGTCACCAATTTCTGACACGGGAACATTTGAAGAAAAAGAAAAATGTTACATCCTACAAGCACAAGGGCGAAAAATTTCATGCAGATTCTGGCTATACTAACATCTTCTGCTATTGCGTTTCCTATCTCTAAAAGAATAGTCTTTAACTTTAAAATTGTAATATTTTTGTTCCATCATTAGTCAAAGGGATATACTACACACACACACACACACTCAAACATATAGACAAAGTTGATCACCCTCACCTGCACTAGCTTTTTGCAAATGGTGAAGCTCAAACCCTCATCAACACCTTCACTGGTGTATCTTCTACCAACAAGCTGCACTGCTGGTGTTGTGACCTCTGACTGAGAGCCACTATTGCTTATCCCAAGCTCAAATCTAACACACACATCACCATCAGACGAGCTATGTCTCCAGGCTGCCCACCTTTGATCACTCCTTCCCTGACTCCCTTTCTCAGAAGCAACCCGAAACATTACGAACCCTCCCACGTTGTTTCCATTTAACAGGCTTCCAACCATATGCAAAATCACTTGAAACACTCGTCTTTCATCCCCCATGACATGATCAGGTAAGGACTTGTCCACATCAATTGCAAAACCAAAGCCCCTAAATACACACAAGCATTTGGCAAGGCAAGCTGCTTCCTTTATCATTCCATGTAACCCAAAAGATCTCACCTCCAATGGAAATCTTCCACTTTCCTTTGCCGAATTGTCCATCACATCATTTATCAAGGTTGATAGGACATTGCTCGTCCTCACCATTGCATCAACAATAACTCGTTGATCTCTATCCAAAGTGTCATCCTGCATCAAAGAAAGCAAACCCAAAATTGAGTGCATTGGCCTCCTCATCCCATCACTCATTACCTTTTGGAATGCATTTCTTGCGTGGCTTGCCATCATAGCCTTCATCTTTGCCTGTTGCAAGGCTCGATTTTGCTCGGCCAATTTCTCCCTCATGAGTTGAGACTCTTCGAGGACTGCAGCATGGGATAAAGCCACGGCAACCTGATCAGCAACTACCTTAATTATCTCCAGGTCCTGGCTACTCCAAGATCTAGGTTGTCCACCAGGGAGGACCAGAACCAGTATTGCATAACAAGTCTGGATCAACTCCGGAGTTCCTCCTTTGAAATTGGAAACCCGAAGCATTGGCATCCGAATTGCAGCTACTGGTCCTGGCTCACCTGAATCACCACTGGCATGAACAAGTGCAGAGTCAGGCCTTAGGATGTTCACCCCATCACTCCCCTTGATATGTATCACATCAGGATCACTTATAGGTATACAAAAGTTGTACATATGAGAATAATTCCTCCCTTTCAGCTCGTGGGTGAGAATCATCTCTGTTTTAGTTTCATTGGGCATCCAAACTGCACAGTACTGCAAACCCAATGTCTCGGATAGCTCAAAAAGTGTTGTCGACAGTATTGTATGCCTATCAAGCGACTTGCGAATTTCTTGGGTGAGCATCCGAACATGCATTCCAGCTTCTGTCTGTCTCATTATAAGCCCAACCTCCCTCCCAAGATCCCAAGTCTTCTTCTTCAGCATGAATTCTCTCACTTTCACTTTGAGAAGCAAAGGGATGAGAGTGATGAGTGTTATAGCAGTGGCACATGAGACCAGAGCAGTAAGAATTTTGAAAACCGTGAGAGCCAGCATAAGCTGGAACGGGTGAGGGCCGTAAGTCCAGCCATTGAGTAGATGTGTCAATCCACATAGCACAATGAAGGCAATGAACTGAAAGAGAACCCATTTGAATGGTACATTCGAGCAGCTGACAAAGTAGAGCAGCTCAATGGGGATTGAAAAGTAGGCCACAGCGATCAAGAAATCGCTCACTCGCTGACATTCTAGGATGCTCTCGATGCTCCACAAGCTGCCATCATCGTCACAATTGCACCGTGGGTATCCGTTATCCGACGCAGAAACACAGAATAGGAGCAATGAAACTGATAGCCAAGATGCTAAGGCCTTTAACATTGCACCCAAACAACAACTTCTTCAATCCATTTAACAGTAAACACAGATTAAAGTTTCGAAACTACAATCGTAAAGCCACGAACTTTAATTTCCATTTCCTGTAGACATACACAACCCAAAAGAAGACAAACCCCCATTAACAATTTGAAGGAATTTAACAGCGACAAATATGAGATCTCACAAAACCAACGAAATCCTGTCAAACTTTCATACTATGAATTGATGAATGGCACAGTGATCAAATTTTCCACAACCAGAAGAGACTAACCCAAAATTAAACAATGTTAATCTCAGAAGGAAAAAAAAATTAATCTCAGAAGCAAAAGAAACCATTTTTAAATTAAACCCACCAAACCAATCTCTTAACTACAATCAAACACATCATATATATATATATATATATATATATATATATATATATTTAAAAAACGCAAATAAAATATATTTAAAAAATGAAATGCTGGGCAAGTAAGAAACGTACCCGTCTCACAGCACTGAGAAACGTTTTGAAAACCCAGATTGGAATTAAAACAGCTGCAGATCTTAGGCTTGCAGCAGATGCAAGAGACTCAGAGCTCCTCTGCGGCCATCAGCAATGAGACCCATTAGCCTCATAAGTAAACAAACACACACACACCCCAAAATCTACCACTCCCCATTTATATAGCAATTGGAAGCTTGCACCTATTAAAAAGAAAACCCAAAAAACCAAATCCCCATAAAAATCACAAACCCAAGAAAAGAAGAAAGATTTTTTAATTTTTTACAAATAAGTATTTTTTTTTATTTAAAAACCACTAAACCCAGTTGTCTGAATCAGTAAGCCGGCCACCTCGCGCCGTGCGAACCGCTGGTGGGCACTAAAAACTTGAGCTTGGAGAGTTGAGAAGGCGGTGGTGCGATTCGGTGGAAAGCACAAAACCAATAACCAGGTCGATTGCCCCACTCTCTCCTCCCTCTCTCTCTCTGTCTGTCTGTTATTTTCCTTCTGAGTCTTCAGCTCCCCTTTATAGCAACAAATAAAAATTCAAAACAAAAGAAAATACCCATAAATCTCTTTGTCTCTTTTTAATAAGATTTTTCAGTTCTTTGGAGCAAAAAAATCAAAAGAAAATTGAAAATGAAAGATTTTCTAGAGAGAGAGGGAGGAGGGGAGAGAGGGAGGGAATATTGTTTGCGCCGTTGTTTCGGAGAGCGGAAAAAATAAAAACACAAGGAAAGAGAAGGAAAGTGGGGGTGGGGAGGGGACCCACACTTTGTAACATGAGGAGAACTTGGACGCTCTTTGGCACCATACGTCACCGTCACACGACTCGCCCAGGAACATTTGTTTTTATTTCTCCCCTTCCCAAAACGGACCCCCAAATACAAAAAACCAAAAAATAAAAATCCACGCGGCAGCCAAAGGGATGAGGAAAGGTTTGCTCTTCAATTGAGTGAGAATAACTTCGTCAAATGGTCCAATGGTAATAGAGCGAACTGCTGCTCTTCAAATGAAAAATAATGTGGGAGGCTCCGGATTTGATATTCTAAGTTATGGGTCTGCTCGATTGTGGTCACAGACAAAGTAAAATTCCTTTTAGCCTCTCCAAGTCTAGAATGAGTGGATAACCGAGACACGCTACCAGTTGTCCCTCTGTAAGAAAAAAAAAACATGAGTGAAAATGACTTCCTCCTCAAAATAATTATCGTAGATAATATTATTTGTTAAAAAAATCATTAAGTACTATGATCTACTGATATTCTACTTTACTTGCAAGTGAGAGAGTTTAAATTTAATTCTCGTCAAAGAAGAATTTGAACTATATTATTACTTGCATGTCATTGCATTAACAATGAGTGATGGTACGCTGCAAATAGACAATTTTCATTAACTCGTTAATTATGATTTTAATTGCATTCTTTAATATGTTTAACAAATTTACATATTAGGTCTTTTGACCAAATCCCATTAAGTCATTTTCCAAATATCATTAATCCTAAACCACCATTATTATATTCTATCCTATTCCATATGAATTATTCAAGTGCAAGCCAAGATTGGTTTCAACTTTGAACTCCTTTCCCAAAGTTCTATATATATCTTTTTCTACAATTAGAAATGGGAGATTAAATTATTTATTGACAAACATCGTATTCTTTTGGATTAACAAAGGTGTTTTACAAATTGCAGCGAGAGTTTTGTGACCTTGTAATATTTTTATGTAATCTTTTCTATTCTTTCGTACTTATACTTCTTTGTCAACTAGAAAAAAAAAAAGAAAAAGAAAAGATAGAGGTCATATTCATACAAGGGGGGACGAACATACGACTATAGAAACTATTGATGTCATATTTGTTGTTATGCTACAGGGATTATAAAGCTATAGTATCTTTGAACGTTAAGAAAACATTGCGTAATGCACTCCCTTATTAATTAGGAAATCATGGGTCAGAATTTCAGTAACCGACTAGAATGTTGTCTATACAAAGGCCAATTTGGCGTCGAGTTAGTGTCTAAGGACATTACGGGGCCGTTACATAATTAGGTTCCCCCGTTAGGGTTACTGTGTCATCTTGGGCTACTTATACAAAGGTCATATGAAGAGAGTATACACGTAGCTTTGTACTAGTTACCAAAGCACCACGTTAATGGTGAATTCGTGAAAAAAAAAATTCCAAAAATAGATAAAAGTATAAGAGTATTTGAGGAATAATTCAATTGTATTCTTCTCTCTTGGAGGTGATATATATACAAGAAAATTCTAATAAAAAGGGAATCACAATATTACCCATATTACAAATAACATAAGAGTAATGCTATTCTTACCGTATTTTTATACCACATTTATATGCCACTTTAGGTGGCATTTGATGTGTACAACCACATCATTTAAATTAATCAGCATTTAATTTCAATTAAAAATTATTTAAAAAATTAATAATTAATCAAAAAGTTGGTTAATTAAATGATGATTGTGGTATATGAGGAGTCTCCTCCTTCATTTCCTTTCAATTCTGCTTCTTCCTTCCCTTTTTTTTCTTCACGCCTGTTTTTTCATTGATTTTTGTTGATTTCCATAATTATGATCAAGCTTGTTAATCCCCGTAGCCCCAATCCCCCCCCTCATTCTCTAATCTTCATTACTACTCCATGGCTTCTTCGCTCGTGATTTTTTTTTTCTTTTCAAATTTTATTTTGTCGTTTAGTAGAAGGATTTCATCTGATTATTTCATTAAATAATGTCCATAAGCTTTCATGAGAATTAGGAGTCAAAATCAAATTTGTCTGTAAAATTAGGGTTCATACTCAGTTAAGTTATTAATGCAAGAGAGAGACTTGAAATTTGCAATTTTCCTTATTGAAGTGTTTTAATTAATAAGAAAATTGAAATTGAAATTAAATGATGTAGCTTGTCCAACTCATCTGCCACCTAAGACCATCTTCAAAGGAGATGTCAAATCCTAGGTGGAATGTCATGTAATCAAATTTGAAGGTAAGAGCGAGTTCCAACTGATATGGATTGACATATGAGTTTTCATATGTCAAATTTGATATATGAGAAAAGGTGATGTCAAATTTTTTTAATTATTTTATTGTGTGGGTCCCATTAATGCACCAATTATAGATCTTGAAAATGTATTTTAATTGATTTCTTTTAAAAAATTTGTCCTACAAATATCATTTATAACAAAGAAACATATCGGTTGGAAAAAGAAAAAAATTTGACATTGCCATGTTAGCCATCAAATTAACATTTGACATTAATCTTTTGACATTTCCTTTGGAGATGCTTTAAGATGGTAAAGAAATGTGGTATAAAATTATGGTAAGAATAGCATAATAGTTGACTCAAGTCCCATGCCAACACTCCCCTTCAAGTTGATGCATAGATATCCCATAAGTCCAACTTGTCTAGTGAGTGATGAAAACATCCACTAGTTGTTCATCCGACCTCACAAACGGTATCTCTAACCTCACATCCAACATTTCTTTGATAAAATGGCGATCCATTGTGCGGTCATGTTGTTCTGGGTTATTTGGTAAAGTCTATAACTCTTTGGGTTTAAACCCAATCTCCGTAACTAGAATTCAAATCCACAAAAGTTCACAAATACCATGTGACACCCTTTTATACTTAGCCTCTGTTGTACACCAAGCAACTACATTCTGTTTCTTGCTCTGCCAAGTTACAAGTTTACCCGCAACAAACATGAAGTAATTTGAAGTTGAACGTTTGTCAGTCATATTTCCAGTCCAATCAACACATGTATATCCTTTTAGTTTCATATGCCCACACTTCCTGAAAATTAAGCCGTTTTCCAGGAGCTGATTTCAGATACCTTAAAACTTTCACCACTGTTGCCATGTAATCCTTACTCAGAGAATGCATAAACACACTTTTTCTAAAAATCCCGCCTAGGCAATAGGAACTAGGTCATCACCCCGATTAGTCTTTAGGTATTTGAAAATTAAGAAAGTGCACCTAGACCCGTTTAGGCGTCCGCTTAACTCACCTAAGTTGCGACTTTCACTTAAACAGAACATCGATAACTTTCATTTTGCATTTTAATTTTTCAATAAAATGTAAGAAACTTGTTGAATACTTGGATGAACACTTATTATATGCTTGTTCCCCATGTTGTTATCATGTTCTAATACTTCATAATTTATATGTCATTCTATATTGCAATTTATGTATCTAAATACAATTATGTGTGTTTTTTAAGTTTAAATAGGCACTAATTTATACAATATATAATAAATTAACTTAAATCTGCCTAGGCCCTCGCCTAGCCACCTAGGCGCTAAATCTCAGCCCGTCGCTCAACTAACGCCAAGGTTTTTTAGAACCTTGCATATACTGATTGACAACAATGACAACATAGGTTATGTCTGAACGAGTAAGGGACATATAGATTTGCTTCCTAACCAATTGCTGATAATTGGATAAATACGTAAGTAATGATCTTGTATAATCGACATCTCAGCTAGTTTGTAAGCTAACATACCAGATTTTCAGACAATAAATCAAGGACATACTTAGTTAAAACAAGTAAATATTCGATCCCTAGGAAATATTTCAGTCCTCACAAGTCTTTAATCTTAAACTCGGAGCCCAAATATCCTTGTAACTTCTCAAATTTTGCCACATCATCTCATATAACAACCATGTCCTCTACATAAATAATGAGTAAGGTCACTTTACCACCCTTGCATTTGATAAACAAGGTGTGATAAGAGTTTTCTTGACAATAAACATACTTCTTCATGGCTTGAGTAAATCTCCCAAACCATGCATGAGGTGCTTGTTTTAATACATACAGTGTCTTGTGAAGTTGACACACTTTCCAAGAGTATCTTGGGTTCCATATCTAGTAGGAAGATTCATGTACACATTCTCCTCCCAATCATTGTGTCTAAAAGAATTTTACACATAGAAATGTTTTAATGGCCAATCAAGATTAGCTTCCAAAGACGATAGTACTCGTATTGTATTCATTTTTGCAACCAGTGTGAACATCTCTTGATTGTCCACACCAAATGTTGGTGTATACCCTTTAGCAACCAACTTGGCCTTGTATCAATCTATGGTAACGTCAGGTTTGTGTTTGATGATGAACATCCATTTGCAACCCACTAGTCTTTTCCCTTTCTGTAAAGACACAATATTTTATGTCTTATTTTTCTACAAAGTTTCAAACTCCACTTGCATAGTTTTTGCCATTTTGGATCTTTCAAGGCTTCTTCAACTCGTGTGGAAATTTGTATACCTACCTTATGATTCACCATTGCCTGGTATTATGATGATAGCCGTGAGTAGATACATATTGAGCAATAGCATATCTAGTCTTCCTTTCTGGTGATTACCAAGCTAGTGGTGTGCCGTGATTTTGCCTTGGAGGTAAAGAATAAGATTGCTCAACACCAATAGAGTTAGATAGAGTATTAGTTTCCAAACTACTTACCTCAGGAATATCCATAGACTA